AAATGTGTTCATATATATAAATATATAAATTGAGAAACATTTCACTGAGGTAGAGCCCTAGTTGATATATTCCAATCACTGGTGTTGCAAAAGACACAAGCCGTACAAATATATAGAATTTTAAATTCTCTGATGTGAAATACAAGTATTGTTGGAGAAAGTAGCCATTTTTTAGATTGACAGCATAAGCCAACAGAAATGATACAAGAGATTAAAGGAGATGTGTATATATATATATATATATACCTATGTTACATGAGCAGTGTTAGAAAAGAGCTGCCTTTCTCTCTCTCTCTTTCCCTCCCCCTCCTGCTAACAGCCACACACACGTGACTAATTGCACACAAATACAAACATATGTTCCAAACTAATGGTGGTAATTTAGTAGAACTGCAGCAAATTTAATCAAATTTTACATGGTGTTATAAAGATAATACAATAACAAAAGAAAAACTTTTCTATAAACTATCACACAATCCAATTGGTAATGCTGAATAAAAATGGCCATGTTGAATTTCATTGATTTTTCTAGGACAGTTTAATGTATAGTTGGTATTTTTGAAAACATTTAAAAATTTCTCCTGTGAAGACACTTGGAGATAGTGCCAGTAAAAGAGATGGTTATGCCAATAAGCTAAGCAGCCCTGGATTCCTTAGTAGAAGCTATGGGACCAGCATCTTCTATAGCACAGTGAGGGGCAGCAGCTGTAACCATGGCCACCATAACCACAACAGTAGCCACGGCCATAACCACAGCCCAGGCCACTGTAGCCATAGCCCAGGCCACAGTAGCAGTTACCACAGTAGCACATTATATTAGGAATGGAGTGTTCAGTTGAGGACCAGGAAGTAGGTATCTTTTGTGTGAATGTCCCCATCTGTCAAGTTCCTTTTTCTATGCCCTCAGTGGGTGGAGAAAATCACATGCGGTGCAGTGTCACAGATCTTATTCATTCACTTCAGACAACATCATGATTCCCTTAATTATTAGCAAAACAAGGCCCTCATAACTGAGATAATTTGGTTCCTATGTCAGAATTCCATGATCAATTTATGGACCTTTAAAATGAAACTTTTATTCTATTTTCAAGGTTCTGAGTCACTCTGTAGCCTGTTGAATACATGTGATTTGATGACATGGTGTGATGCAAATAATGAAAATCGGTATCCCATTTGTTTTGTTCTGTTTTATTTCCATTCCTCCATAGGAATAAGTTTTTATTTGCTTTTTTCACTTATGTTTGTGCCTTTTCCTTTTATATGTATTACTTCAATCTTTCCTCAAAATAAATGAGCGTTTTACGGACAGAAACTGTGTACACTCCATGCTTCCTTTTGTCATCCCTTATGAATGTGCCAGAGATGTAACCGTAAAACACACCATGGTTAAGTGGGTGCTCCATCCTCAACTCTGTGTCTTCTTTTCCGGGGGTCATGTTTGTGCTCACAGATGCCCTGGCTACAGCAGTGACATATCTCTTAAAAGTATATGGGTAGAATCAGAGGGACCAAAAAGTGACACATTCCTTTTTTGTTTCCTTAGATTTTAGCTGTTACCTGAAGTATTGGTGGAAATAGAAGTCCTACAGTCATGGAAAGACTTTTGTGGTGTTGTTCGGTTTAAAATAGTTAATGAAATTCACTAAATTATAATTCATATACAACAAATTAGACCTATTTTCAGAGTACAGGTCAATAAGTTTGACAGTCAGAGAGATCAATATAAATTATGTATCATCACTCCAAATATAGCTATTGGGAGCTTTCATAAGAGGGAAGAAACTTCTCCTCTGATGTTATAGTTGCTGAACTCAGGTTTCCTCTGATCCCCCAAATACTGCCAGTTATACACTAAACATTTTGAGACAGTGAACACTGAACATAATTATCACTGAACATTGAAACTAGTGATGGGTGCATAGGTACGATGAAAAAATCTTGCTTTTCCCCCATACTTCCAATTAAGATCATTTGAGACTTCAGAGAGAAATTCATATAGCTTTGCCAGCCTCTTTCGCTCATCTGATTGTTACATATTTGTTACGAACCGTGTGCCAATCATTTTAAGACAATATGTTATGTGACATCTAGTATTGTTCTTGTGTCTCCTCTTGTCACTTGCTTTCTCATCTATAGCATGAGATGCTATAAATGACAAAAAGACATTGGAGAAGTTTTTCTTTTGAAATTTGGAAATAAGTCAGCGTTTTTCTTCATCAGGTCACATATATATCTAGTGTTTTATGTATTGCATATTTCTTCAAATAATTAAGCTAGATGTTCAGGTAGCCAAATAATGCTTAGTATCTGTGTTGATCACTCAGAATTTCACGAATAGTATTGAGTTTTTAAATCCAATGATGGCTAAACCACTATTGGGAAAAACATTGTAATTTATTAAAAATCAAATAGAAAAATTTTGAAACATCTTTTGCCTAAGTAATATCTTATTGCATAAGATTCTGTTGTCTCATTGCCATTTCCCAATGTATGGGGATTCTTAAGGAAAAGTGGAATAAATGGACACATTTACTGTTTGGGGATTTCAAAATAAAAATAAAGGAGCTGTCAGATGTGAAGAACAGTGGAATAAGAGGGAGACAGTGACTCAGTGCATTCAACACCGTCCTGGTGAGCTGGTGAACAACAGATCCTTTCCAGAGAATTTTAACATCAAATATCAGGCAGTCAGCAGTCACTCGACAGGGGATTCTATCTATACTCTACAGGTCAGCCAGATGACATGAGGTGTGAGGAGCGAATTACCTCTCTTCTGAGGCACAGTGCTAAGTAATTCAGCCAAATCTTAGGGTGTTGAGAAATAGACAAACCCAGGGGTTGTTATATATAGTGATAGGAAAAAGACTATTTTGCTGGGCAAAAATGTCATTAAAAATGTTCTCATATGAATGTAAATTGGAAGTCTGACCAAATGTAGCACTGGCTGCTGAATCACATAAAAACTGGATTACACATGACCTTAGATAAAAGGAACTGATGTTCAGATCCTTAAATTTTCAGGGCCATTAAAACTGCAAGAGATATCAAAATCTCTCTATTCCTCTCTCTCTCTCTGTCTCTCACTGCTTCACTCTGATAAATACATACACACATGCACACAAACAGAAAAAGCAAAAATAATAGAGAGAAATTAATATAAGTATAATAAACAATTTACAGGAGCATGGTAAATTTATTTTCATACTGCTGTGAAGATACTACCAGAGACTGGGTAATTTATAAAGGAAGTTTAATTGACTCATAGCTTCACATGGCTGGGGAAGCCTCAGGAAACTTACAGTCATGGCAGAAGGCAGAGGAGAAGGGAATTCCTTCTTCACAAGGTGGCAAGAAAGAGAGATTGATCGAGACAGTGTGAAGGAGGAACTGTCAAACACTTATAAAACCATCAGATCTTGTGAGAACTCACTCACTAACATGAGAATAGCACGGGGAAAAAACTGCTGCCATAATCCAATCACCTCCCATCAGGTCCCTCCCTTGATACGTGGGGATTATGGGATTACAGTTCTAGATGAGATTTGGGTGGAGACAAAGAGCCAAATCATATCAAGCATACATTTTAATATAAACTTTATTTTCTCATATGAAATATATGAAAAGAACATATAGGCCGGGCACGGTGGCTCACACCTGTAATCCCAGCACTTTGGGAGGCCGAATCGGGCAGATCACCTGAGGTCAGGAGTTTAAGACCAGCCGGACCAACATGGTAAAACCCCATTTCTACTGAAAATACAAAGAAATTAGCCAGGCATGGTAGTGGCAGGCACCTGTAATCTCAGCTACTCAGGAGGATGAGGCAGGAGAATTGTTTGAATCCAGGAGGCAGAGGTTGCAGTGAGCCTAGATCGTGCCACTGCACTCCAGCCTGGGCGACAAGACAAGAGAGACACTCTGTCTAAAAAAAAACAAAAAGAAAAAAGAAAAAGAAAAGAATGTATATGAAGAGGAATAATGTCAATCCAAAATAAAGAGTATAACTTTTCTGTAAATTATAAGACATCCCATTGATTTCAGTTAATCAAAATATAGCATGCTGAATTTGAATTACATTTTTTTTAGTAGTTAGAGATGAAATTAGTATTTCCAATGTGGGTATGGAGGAGGAGTCAGGAAGCACAAAAGGAAGAGTCCAGCAGGTTGAGTTGCTCAAGGGAAACCCTGACAGAGTCTGTACGGCCAGAATATCACACTGCTAGAACCAGCCCCGAACCAGGGACAAGGCATCAGAGAGTTGCCATTTCAGCTCGTGGTGTCCGAAATGGAAAGTTCAGTAAAGAGAAGGGACTCTGTTTCTTCAGACTGAATGTCACCAATCACGCAGTTCAGGGACTTTTCAATCTTCTGTTGTTGGTTGCGCAAACCATGAATAGTGCTGACCTTATCATTCAGACTAATCACTCAAAATATTAGCAGCTAACTTACATTTGAATTTAAGTATCCTTGTAGGTAATGTATTAATGTATTTTTCACTTGTTTTAACAAATAATTACAACTTATTCTTTTTAAGGGTTTTTTAGTGTAGCCCAATCTTATTGTATTGTGTTAGCCCAAAAAAGTTATCTTTTTCCACCAAAAAAGTTACCATTATCTACATAACATAGAAGTTGTTGATGGAAAAGTTGTAAGAGTTGGTTGATGGAAAAGAGCTGCCCAAGCCTGAATTCTCCATGTCTCCTGCAAGCAGATTCCGTAAGGTAGTGCCTTTATATACAACGTCGTCATTTGCACAATGAGACTCTGGACATGGATATAGGTATATGTGTGCACAGTTTCCATTTATCTTATGCTCCCAATTGAGTTAACGTAATTCATTAAAATAACATAGTTTTTTTATGTTCCATCATCTAAGCAAATGACATTTCATCGTTTAAGTGATATTTATTGAGGGCCTACTATGTGCCAGTCACTTTTAAGACAATGGAATATATTACTTCTATTATTGTGATAACATATCCTAATAGGATGTTTTCTCATTGAAAGCATCATGTGCTATAAGATGTAGCAATGCTGCAAATTTTCACTTGAAAATATTGAAGTATCCCAAAAGAGGTATATTCAGTTGAATTATTTTAATTGAATATATCCAAAGTTGGAATGATGAACAGATACCTCTGAAATATTTACATCAGGACAATAGGGCTCTAAATCCCCATAGCAAATGAAAGTATAACACATGGTTGGAATCTGCCAATAAAGTAGTTGTTTCATCTGAGGTATTTGAGTCAACAAACACTAAGATAATAGGTTCATAAATAAAAGATAAGTTGCACACAATATAGTAAATTCACTCAGACCTATTCAAACGCTGACACTAAAACCAAGAAGAGTGGGAATAAAACACAAGCTATATTTATAGAGAAACAGAAATATGCATGAAGTTGGACTAGTCTAAACATCGTTGTCATCTTGGGATGCTCCGAAGATGGTGTTCTTTCTTTTTCTCGTATTTTCTTCTTTCCTATTCCATTTGCCAACACACCAAAATGCAAACACTCACATGCACAATAAACATAATTAAAATGCAACAAGTCAATATATTTTCAATTAGATGTTTATTAAAAGAAATTTTTATATCTTCTCACATAAGTTGATCAAAAATCAACAATTTAATGACAGTACAATAGCAAAACAAAGCTTTTAAAAAAATCTGTGAAACATGTCAAATGATTTCAATAACTCTAGATGAGGCTTGCAGAATCTGACCTATTTTTTTCTTCCAGATACTTAAGGATGCTGTTGACATTTTACAATAGAAAAATGGATTACTCATATGAAGAATTATAAAGGCAGATTTAGGAAGTCCATGTGGAAGAGACCACTAGTGAGTTGCCAGATATTTCTCAGTAGAAACCACAGGACCTGTATCTTCCATAACAAGATGGGTGGCAGCAGCCATATCCATAGCCGCCATAGCCACGGCCATAGCCACAGCCCAGGCCTCCATAGCCACGGCCATAACCACAGCCACAGTCATAGCTACAGCCCAGGCCTCCATAGCCATAACCCAGACTGCCATAGTAGCTGACGTAGTAGCACATGGTTTCAGGAGTGGAGGATTTGGTTGAGCAGCAAGGAATCAGTTTCTTTAGTTTGAATATCCCTATATGCCCAGGTCAGTCCTTTTATATACACCCACAGTGGTGGGTGGGACCCATCACAGGACCTGTAGATTGCATATTTTCTATTAATTTGTATTAGTATACTTCCTGAATATTTGTTTTATTAAACAATGTGAGGCCTTTATAAACAAGATGACTTTGCTATTGTGTCAGCCTTCTCATGATCAAATTATATGCCTTTAATGTGTTTTTCTTATTCTTATTTTAAAGCCCTTACTCACACTTTGTTTAGCTTAAAATATTTGACAACTTTGTGTTGAATTTAATCATTGAGTGGGTTGTAAAAGGTTGATTTTTAAAATTCTATCATTACTTGTGCATACATTATGTGGGAATCTTCTCCAAAGAAAAATAACTTCCATTAACAATAGAGTTTATTTAGCAGAGTCAGCTAAGTTTTTTCTTGTTCATTATTTACTTTCATAAGTAAATTTTATTCAGACGTAAAAGTATATAGAATTGTAATTTAAAGCTTTATAAACACATCCCTGGATTTTAATAACCATCATATTCTGTCATCAGTTCCTTCTCTCCCTGTATATTTTTTATAGTTACTGTTAGTTCTGCTGAATATTTTAAAACAAATCCCAGGCAAGACAACATTTTTCTAATAAGTACTTCAGTGTACATCTCTATCACAACAGAAGTCTAAAAAAATATACAGAGAGAGCCACAATACCATTATCACACCAATGACATTATAAAATTGTTTGGCTTCCTCTAATAGTTAATTTGTGATCAATTTTCCTTGATTGCTTCCCAAACATATTTTTTCATAGTCATGTTGTTTTTTTTACATTAAGACACACATTCGTTACACTTAGGCATGTCTTTAACTCTTTTTAGAGATGTGATGGTTCTTTTTTATTCCTTTTTAATACATTTTATTGTTTTGAGGAAACTTTATTATTGTCCTTTAGAATTCTTGCATTTTAGATGTGGCTGATTTCTTTCTTGTTTTCCCTTTTCATATCTTCCTCTATCCCTCATACCGTTGGCAGGTAGATGACAAAGGTTGATGTGATTCTGGATATTTTTACTATTTGTTGACAAGAGTGATATTTTATAGTTGCTCTGTGTACATTTTATTACATCATATTAGGACGTACATGGTGTCTGGGTGGCCCATTGCTTCACATTTAGTAATGCTGGGATTGCGAATTGGGTTCATTTTACAATCTCCCTCATAAACTTTTTAGCTGCAGTTTTTTACTTTCAGTAATAGTTACCTAGACCCATTAATTGCCAGAAGTTCAACATGCTGATTTTATAATTCTATCATTACTTCTACATATAGAAGATAGAAACCTATAAAGAGGAAAAACATTCTCATCAATAAGTTTATCCAGGAGAGGAAAATAGTTGATTTTTTTTCATTTATCAATTTCCAGAATGAGTGTATAATTTAGCAGTTGTGAAAATAATATGCTTCAGCATTCTTATGCACTCATAGACTTTTTTTCTTTTTTTTTTTTTTTCTTTTTTTTCTTTCTTTTTTTTTTTTTTAGACAGAGTCTCTCTCTCGCCCAGGCTGGAGTGCATGGACTGCAGTGATGCAATGTGGGCTCACTGCAACCTCCACCTCCCATGTGTTCTCATGCCTCAGCCTCCCAAGTGGCTGGGATTACAGATGTGCGCCACCACACCCAGCTAATTTTTGTATTTTTAGTACAGACGGGGTTTCACCATGTTGGCTAGGCTGGTCTTGAACTCCTGACCTCAGGTGATCTACCTGCCTTGGCCTCCCAAAGTGCTGGGATTACAGGCGTGAGCTACCACTCCCAGCCTCATAGACGTTTTAATAACATCACCCTAAATATTTAAGTGCACAGTGCATTATTGTAAACTGTAGTCACTACGTCGTATCTAAGAAATCATTACGAAGTCCGATATCAGCAATCTTTACCCCTATGTTTTCTTCTAATACTTTTACAGTTTGAGGCTTTGTATTTAAGTCTTTAATTCATGTCAGGTTGAGTTTTTTGTTGGATGTTTGATAAGGGTCCAATTTCATTCTTTTGCATATGAATATCCAGTTTCCCCAGCATCATTTGTTGAAGAGACTACACTTTCCCTAGTGTGTATAATGATTATCTTTACCAAGATCAAATAACTGCATATATGTGGGTTTATTTCTGGGCTCTCTGTACTGCTCCATTGGTCGATAAGTCTTTCTTTATGACAATAGCATAGTGTTTTAATTAACTGACATGTATCCATCAATTGTAGTTATTTCTCTTTTTGATGTCAAGTTGTCCTATCATGGGCTAGTAGAAACCTTTCTAATTCGGTCTAAGTATTTTTTGACAAGATTTTAGTAGTATCTTCTATAAATTATTTGATGCTTATATGAGAAGATTTTCCAGACTTATCTTTTATCTTTCCTGTACTTGATTAGGAAAAGGTCTTTTTTTTTTTTTTTTTTTTTTTAAGAACCACTGATATTTTGAGGAGACTGCCTGGACACTATTACTTATATACTGTTTCAGTGAAGAGAGCCAAAAACCTCTCTGTTTTTTAAAAACAGATAAAAAATAATGAGTTCAAACTAAAAATTTCAATTCAAATAAAAATTATAGAGCATTGGTTTAAGCTTTTTGGTTTTTTAAATGGACAAACTTTTTTTAAAGCTTCTATTTACATCAAGTTTGCTAACTTCCCTTTGATCAAAACAAGTCACATATATCACAGAGTCCATAGTAGAGGAATAAAATGGCTGTCACACCTAAGTTGGGAGAACTGAGAATGGGGCCGTCAATTTAATTGTGTATGTATGTGCAATGTCACTGCGGTATATTTAACATTATAAATTATGAATATAATTACCAATATAATATGTAAGATGATTTATTAATAATATATATTGACGGCAAAAGTGGATACTTATGGAAGCTAGGTCTCTTTGAACGTACTATCACAACTTCACTGTGTAAGTATAATATATCTTATTCAGAATTGTTTCCTTTGTATTTAGACAATAGATGATGGCATACGTGATTATGTGCAAGGAAATAAACTTGAAATTCAGGGATCTCACTGAAGGGTTCTGTGTTCTTCCAACTCCAGACGTAATTGTTAATCAGAAATTGCAGCAACCATAGCCTAAAATGGCTACGGAAACAGGATCTCACCAGTAAGGAGGAAGGTGTGGGTCTACCTAGCAGCAAAGAAACAGTCCAACTCCAGTGCTGGCTGAGAGTAAGGAATATGTAAAATGGTGAGATGGTCCCTCATTGCTCATAGAATCACATGCTTGATAAATTACCCTTGCATTAACCCTCACTCTTACAGGAAAAAAAAAAAAAACCCAGATACTGTTTTGCCAGTACTCACTGTTGTCTGTCTGTTTGAATTCCTTTCCAAAAGATCTGAAACCTCTCGCTTCTTGCTCCTGCCATGATTAATTTGTGTACTTTCTGTACTCAGAATTGTTCCTTATGAGTCTTCATCTTTTCATTGTGTGTGTCTGTGTTTTTTTTTTTTTTTTTTTTTGAGACAGAGTCTTGCTCTGTCGCCCAGGCTGGAGTGCAGTGGTGTGATCCTGGCTCACAGCATCCTCTGCCTCCCTGGTTCAAGCAATTCTCCAGCCTCAACTTCCCATTCATTGTGTCTTTTTAAGATCCAGAGAGCCTTGGCTCTCATAGTTCCTTCTGAACTCCCTTCATCTCGTCGCACTAGCCTACGACCTGTTTTGGCTGGTATTCTCAGATCTGCTCCTTGGGTCCTCCACTTGAGGTGGTATATGTGTGGAAGGACTTTCTAAGCCTACCTTGACTGGAATCCAGGACCCTCCTTTGACCTCACAGTTCTTCTACCAGTTCTGAAGAAAGGTATTTCCCACATGGTCCTGATCCAAGGCAAAGTAGCCAAAAGTTCCAGGGGATGGGTCTTCATCCTACTCGGCTGTCACCTGCCTGTGGGAGTCAGAAGTACCTTACAAAGACAGAAAACAGTGTCCCACTCATGAAAACTCTAGGCTATATTAGAAAACTATAATGTGTAGTGTATTTCAGATGAATAAATTTAACATTTGAGATGTTCCTTACTAGCACCATCCAAACGCAGGTCTTGAAAGCAGGGATATTCATGGAGAAAGTGATTAATACAATGGTGTATATGGAGATAGAGAATAGAGTGATAGTTACCATAGGCTTGGAAGGAGAATGGGAGACAGCAGGGAGGATAAATAAGGGGTTGGTTAATGGGTACAAAAATACAGTTAGATAGAAGGAATAATGTATAGTATTTGATAGCACAATAGGGCGATCATAGGAAACAGCAACTTATTGTATACTTCAAAGTAATGAGAAGAGTGAAATTGAAATATTACTAACACAAACTATAAATGTTTACGGTGAGAGATATCTCAATTACCCTGATGTAATCTTTACACATTGTATGCTTGAATCAAAATAACACATGTATCCCATAAATATGTACAACTATTATCTATCTGTAAAGATTAAAAATTTTATAAATCCTAGTGGGATCATATTCCATACTCTCTCAGGAACTTGATTACTCAGAACAAGAATTGTGTTTACTCTTAGTCAATGAGAGTAGCTTTAAGAGATTTGAAAGATATAAGTGACCAAACCTACATCATTGCTGTGGCGAAAACAGATGATATTCATGGCTTTTCATGGATGTAAGGTTTTGCAGCATCCTCTGAACATTTCCTTATGAATCACTAGCCTTGGAAAGAGAGAAGTCCACCTATTGAAAATTATGCTTTCTGACTGGGCGCAGTGGCTCACACCTGAAATTCCAACACTTTGGGAGGCTAAGGCTGGCAGATCACCTGAAGTCAGGAGTTTGAGACCAGTCTAGCCAACACAGAGAAGCCCTGTCTCTACTAAAAATACAAAAAATTAGCCAGACATGGTGGTGCGTGCCTGTAATCTCAGCTACTCGGGAGGCTGAGGGAGGAGAATCGCTTGAGCCCAGGAGTGGAGGTTGCAGTGAGCCAATATCATGCCACTAAACTCCAGCCTGGGTGACAGAAAGAGACTCCATCTTAAAAGGAAAAAAAAAAAAAAATATATGCTTTCCCCTGGTTCCTGCAATTTCTTGATTTGAAGCCTAGCAAAGAGTGCATGATATAATAGGGTCTTCTCTCGTCTTTGCTTCTCCTACACTTCCAATGACTATGAAGTATTATTTTCTGCTTGCAATATGTCGAATTCATTTAGTTTTTCTGATTAAACTGCTGTTTATTGCAGGTGTGTGTGTGTGTGTGTGTGTGTGTGTGTATATATATATATACACACCCCATATTTTTCAATGTAGGTATGTTTATATGTAATGTGTAAATAAACAAATGCTTTTTTATTCAGTGCTAGTTATATGTTTGTTGTACCTAATGATTTTTTAATCAAAGTAGACATAAAAATAAATTTGTTATTTTTTGTTTTCTCCTTATTCTTAGTCATAGGAGGTTTCTCAGAGCACATTGTTTTACCATGCTGCTGAACCATATGTCTCTCAAACTACTCTGCCCATCTAACAAATTATATAAAAAGATTAATGATAGTCTGTCATATTGTAGGTTACTTACTAAAATAATGTAAATTCTTCATTCTTCCTTGTATCTAGGCACCTTGCCATGTGATTTAACAGCTTCCCCTAACAAGGACTGCAGCCTGTTTCTACTGCTTAAATCCCTGCTGGTCTTGAGATTTGTTTTGGCCAATAAAATACTTTGG